CCCGCCCTGCGCGCGCCGTCTGGCCCTATCCGTTGTCGATCGGCTTGTGTTTCCTTGTGTGTCGGGTGACACTCGAACAACACCGAATTCGTCTTCCGCCGAACTGTTCCGGGACGACTTCCGTGGGTGACCATCGCGAACACGGGTCAACCACTCCTCACCTCTGCGACCTGGCCATGATACGGAACTCGAACATGGGAATCTCTCCTCGTGATCGCGTACCCTCGACTGCAACACGGCGGGCTTGAAAATTCGTGATCATCATCACCGATGCTTCCGTTCGACACCGACCTCACCACCCGCGCACACACACGTCATGTTCGACTTGAATGCAGTGGTGCAACAAATTCGAGACTACCTCGCCCTTCCCAGGTACAGTAGTCTACCGTGCGTGTCCTTCCCTTGCAGAGAAGAGTGTTGCTTGCCCGGGTGCCGTGTTTTTCTTGTAGTAGGAGTGCTGCGAATGGTTCTTCCCCGTAATGCATGCCTTTTGGTTTGCTGATGGGCTGAAGCATGTGCATGAGCGCGTGTGCTTCGGGTGTTGACCGATTATTTTGATTTCTAGAAAGGCGTCCCCTTTTCGGTTGCGGTTTGCCTGCTGTGACCACGGAAGGCATCCGCGCCAGCTGGACCATTGCGGGCATTAGAAGGTACTTCCAAGCACAGACGGAACAATATTTTATGTGAAAAACACAACCACAATAACACCACTGTAACCACGAAAACGGTCATCCTCTTGTCGGTCCTTCTTGCACCATGCTTGCTAAGCTTCAATCAATCATGAATCAATCGCCGTGCTTACGAAGCAGGGACCCGGCTCACTCTACAAGGTCCCGGCTGTGCCTGATCTGGCAGAGCATGAGCGAGGCGGAGCTATACGGGTCAGACGAGATTACGGAAATGCAGGCGAGCTTTTTTCTCGTTTCGGTGTGTTTTGCCCCGCAGGTTGCGACATTCGGCCCCGTACGTTTCCACGCGGCCAGCGTGGGCGTGACCGACAGTTTTTGCAACTTGGTGTTTCAACCATTACGCCATGCTCGGCTCCGGCGCGAAGCAGCAACAAAATGAATGCCCATGATTGCGAAGCTCGCCCCTTTCTGCGCCACGGGCATATTGGGTGGGTTCTGAACGACAGTGACATGCGCGAATGTGCCTCATCCACGCGTCCTTCGAAGTACGATCGTCTCGCAAGAACTCCGGGGACCATTTTGTTTCAGTGAGAACGATATTTTCATTTCGGTGTTGGATGTTCATACCCGTCTGAACGGGTAACGTAAGGCCGGGCTGCACGAGCTGCACGTTTCTGATGGTTGGTGTAATGTCGTGCAGCAGACCACCAGGCGCAGCAGAGAGATAGACAGAGAACAGCAGCAACATCGCCAAGAACGACGGTCAATCTCTCGACGTACACTTGCTTTCTTTCAAACCCTGTTACCTGGTGTCCAGGACACACGAGGAGCGTTCCTACTGCCAACCCTCACCGCTCACGGCTTTCGCAGAGGCACTACACAACGAACGGTCGCCGCGGCAGCCACGCCACCTTGACTTTTTTTTTTTTGAGTCACGGGTCCAACCCCCCCCCCCCCCCCCCCCCCCCCCCCCCCCCCCCNTTATTTTTTATCAGGCCAAGAGCAAGGGCCTTCTAGAAGTGATTGTTCTCGTGAGCGGAGACCAGAGGCGTCGTAACGTTCCCGGGGCAGCTTTCCGCAGGGGCAAGAAGATGATGAGCAAGGCCAGGGCAATGGTCTCCCCCCTCAGCAGCTCTCCGAGCAGCTCGATCGTCGCCATGCCAGCCGGGAGGTGGGGGGGTGGGTGGGGAGGTGCTGGCCTTTGGTTTGGTAGCATCGTGTTTCGATGTCGTTGTCGTTGTGTTGGTTGTTGTCGTTGTTGTTGTTGTTGTTGTGCTACACAACAAGCCTCGATCGGTTCAGGTCAAGTACTGTGTCGAAATCACAACGCAGGATTTAATTTTCCGAGCGACCCTCCCCGCCCAAAGACACCGGCTACAAGAACAAGCCTGAACAACAATCGTGGGTCCGGTTCTCGCTTTTCCCGTGCACGTGCCCGTCCCGTCAACCATCCCGCTACCGGTCAGACCTCCCAAGGTCTACGATACGAGCCCGAACCGTCCGGATGATGAAGAACGTTCCTCGGGAGGCATTGCTCGGCACAAACGTGGCAGGCGGAGATCTGATCAGGCGAGAAAACAAATTGTTCTTACTTTCTTTCGTGATTTGCTTATCCCGTTTCATTTTCTCTACGCCGGCCTGGTGGTCTCATTCTCCTTCGTTACGCTGTTGTCTGGAAGATCCAGCGGTTGGTTGTAGGGCAAGGAGACCTTATGTGCATGCGTCCCCCCCCCCCCCCCCCC